GACTGTTGTTTTGAACAGAGTTACAGAAATACAGGACCAGGATTTAATTCAATATCTCCTGAGAACATTAGTTTCTTGTGATATTGTTAATTGGCAATTATGCCTGCAGCCAGAGTTTTGACTGTTTAAAATATTACACAATGATTCTTTTTATACTGTATAAATGTATATAATAAAATGTGGTATTTGGCTACTTACTAGAGGAGGATAAGTTTCCATGTTGATAGATAACTTTGGAATAATATCACAAGTAGAATGGTGAAAACAAGACAGCCAATTCAAGATAAAATCAAGATATTTTTGAAGCCAAAACATGGCAAAGAATAACACGAGTACACGACTTACACGAGGCCAAACTACGCCCGTTCGCAGGTTAGGTGCGAGTACGATGTAAACATTGAACTATAAATAACAAACTATTATTATATTATTAACTATTATTAGTGGTTATTTATAGTTCAATGGATGTAAACAATTGATGTAAGCTAATCGCTGATTGGCTTAATTATACAAGCTCGTCGCTGAATGGCTATGGGCATAAAAGTTAATACTAATGTGCTTCGCAGATACAAAAATAAAGATATACACCGGCACTGTATATTTATATATATTCATACCTGGAAGTTTTTTTGATTATAAAAGTGTATTTTCCCAATTTAGATAGGTGGGTCATGAAATAAAATTGGTAAGATTGGATGGGCTTTGGAAATTTTTATCTACATCCTAAGATGGGTCACCAAACTTATTGGCAAAATTTGTGATTTACCTCCAGCCCACCCTGCAGTTACTTTATGACCAGTCCCTTAGTTCCGTGCAAAATTGACGAAAAAATAATATAAGCGTTGAAAATACAGGTAGTTGATTTGGCATGTTGTGAAAGCAATTTAACAGAGTTGTTACAGGTAAACTACGTGAAGCGTTCCTCTTTTGAGTTTCTAAATTGATTGCAATTTTCCTCATTACTTTTGCAATTTAAAAAACTCCCTTGCAAATTCCTTGAGGGAATTTGCAATGTTGCTAAAAGCCCAAAAAAATTTCCTCAGTTCCTGTTAGAAGTTCTTAACTTCCTGTTACAAGTTCCTAACTTCCTGTTCTGTTCTGCGTGTTGCAATTGGCTAACAAAAATAATCGACCAATAACAACGCTCAGAACAGAACAGGAAGTTAGGAAATTAA